AACAAGCTACCCGACGATGATAAGCCACGCCGACAACATCATGCTCAAGCCACGGTTTTAAGCCAGCGGGTGGGAACTCCAGGCGATGTAAGCCTCCCGGACTAGTCGCGGCCAAATCAAATTGAGTATTTCATTAAAAAAATTACTCTCCTTACAAAATATAAATCTACGGCATCTCTAACTTAAACTCACAAGTACGAAATTTAATTAATTAAAACAAGTATATGACAAACTTTTCTCTCACGTATCTTTTCATCCAAGTCGAAAAAATCAAATCTTGTTTATTTGGCCCATACATTACCCTCTCTCTCTTCCATTTTCCTTCCTCCTTATTCTTCTTTTCGCATACCAAAAACCATTAAATTAGCAGACCAAAAATTCATTAAATTCTTCCCTTAATTTCTTTTCTTTGTCACTATCTCATGAAGCATTAACCTCGGGGATGCGAAAGACGACCCTGGGAGCGACATAGCGACCGACGAACCTTGGCAGGTGCTGATCATGGTCGGTGGACGGCTTGCGATAGGCGTTGGGGGTAGTCAGCGCCCCAGATCGACGGTGCGGTGTTCTATTCCAGCGGTCACCAATTGTCGCGCGGCTGCACAATTGAAGACTCGGCTCAGAGACATCCCCTCGTCTCTCAATCAGAAGCAACGTCGAAGATCATCGGGGCTCGTTGAGGATGTGAAGGGGTGACGTTGGGAGTGGTGAGGTCAATCAAACCTGTTTCAGAATTTGTTGTTGCTTATCTTGTGTATAACTACATTCGATTTAATTTTTACAGTCATCCAGAATTGTGTATTATGTTTAATCACTTTTCATATTTGTTTAAATGTTGTTTATCTTATATAAAACTATACGGTTAATAATAGAGAATTATCAGATCATGTTTATCTTATATATATATATATATATATATATATATATATATATATATATATATATAGGGGTGAGGTACCTGACCTATAAGTTGCCCGGATCTGCTGCGTTGGTTGCCCAGACCTGCCCGTCCGTACACACACAGTGTGTATGTGTCTCAGAGATAACCGTCGCCACTATCTTGTGCACCAATATCTTGACGCCACGTGTCCTCTGCACATGAGATAAATATTCCCTCATGATTTTGCTGACGTCCCACTGACAATCTGTTAGAGATTTTCGGGTTTGACCTTATCCGGGTCAACCTCCTAAATTATATCCTCCGCGTAGCGTAATCGACCATTGGACTGTCTTCAGTCCCTGTATCGACCACATGGCTAATTTCCTACTCGACCTCGTCGGTTTCGACCAGACTTCCCTAGGCCTTGAGGCATCTTTGTATGTCGGAATCCCCGTCCTTTTGACCCTTATGTTGTCTGACTCTGGCTGCACTGCCTTCTATCGCTTCATCCAGCTAGACTTGTCAAAACAGGCCTGGGCCCGCGGGCCGGCCGCCCCGCCCCGCTGAAAGGATGGGTTGGGTTGGGATTTTATAGACCCGCTAAAGAGCGGGCCTAAACGGGATGGCCCACGCGGGCCGCGGGATTTGGCGGGGCGGGCTGCGGGCTAGCCCGCCTCTGAAAACATATATACATTGAATAATTGGGCTGGGAATTTTAGTCATTTTATTCCACTCATCTCAAATTTAATGGGCTTAGCCATGTTAAATAATACATAAAACAAGACAAGTGTATCAAATTGGCTCATACCACTACCTCTCTTCTCCAAACATACTTTTTAACTACGTTAAAAAAATCTCTAGCTTACCCCAAAATTAAACACGTCTCAATTTGCATAAGCAGCCCATCTTGACGATCTGCCGAAAGATGGCCGACGAGGACAGATTCAGGTTTCGACACTAGCTATCGACACGATATCACGGAAGGCCCCCGTCGGGAAGAACAATTGCCGTTGATGAAGGAGAAGTGGTTGTCGTCAAGGAAGGAGAAACGGAGGCCTTCGCGGATAAGACCTCGGTAGCGGCATGCCGGTTGTTCCTGAGGAAATCGAATTTGTTGATGGGTGAACTGATAGGGTTGAATCAATCGGATGATGTTTTTGGGGATAAAACTTTATACTAGTGAAATTTTGTAGTTCAATTTTATTGTTTTCTTCTTGGAACTGTTTGTGCTTGGTCATGACCGTGTTTTGAGTTTTCGTTCAGATCTCCTTACCTCTCGTGTTTTTATTTCTTTAAAGTTTTTTATTATTATTTTTTTATTTTAGGCGGGCTGGCGGCCCGTGGCGGGGTTGGGGCGGGTTGCCCTGTCCCGTCAGCCCGTTTTGACATCTCTACGTCCAACGTTATCTCCTCTATATTTGTTTTATTTGATCGGCTTGTTGGCCGGTTCACTCACTGAGGTATAATATCCTATATCAAATATATAGACAATTCCGTTTCATTTTTTGAATTTTCTGAATCCCTAAATTATAGTTATCAAATTTGTTATTTATTTATTTTTTCTGATTTTTCTTTGTTGTTGCGGGTTTTTAGACATAAATATATACATGGAGAGAGAAAAAGTTACTATCTCATCTCATATATATGTAATAAAGACCACATAAAACTCCAAGTTTGAAGAAAGTTTAATTGAAACGTATATGAGTAAGTATTTAGTACATGGAGTCTATATGTGTAAATTTCCCTAATTTTTTTCTTGAAAAGTTGAAATTTTTCTTTAAGACTAATTCCACCTCAAACCTCCATAATTCAGGGTTTGATTATTTATGAAATAATTTATCCAACTTTATTTCATACTCAAAATATAACTCAATTTTAATTCAACTCCACTATCTTTAACATTATTTATATAATTAAATAATACGACCAATCATTAATACATCACAACAACGTTAATTCATTATTCATTCACTCACATAATTTTAACTACCTATCGTTTGCAATAATTTATCTCATACTTTTACATCAAATCAATTTTAATAATTTTATTTTAAGTATTATTTTAATTATTCTCAAAATTCTACTAACAACTAATTATACTATATTTTTCAAAATTAACTATAGTTAACCAAAATAACATATTTTGAACAAATTATTTCATAAAAAATCAAGTTAGACATGGCCAAGGGCTGCCCGGCCCGAATACGGAACGGACCCGACCTGGTCAAACTCGTTGACCACGAGTCCGAGACTAGACCGGATTTTCATCGGGCCGTTTTAGAGTCGTCCATTTCATGACCCGACCGGGCGGGCCCGAGCCGAGCCGGTCCGGGCCAATGGCCAACTTTTTCCTTTTTTTTCTATTTTTTTAAATGTCGGACTTGGCCTAAACACGACCGGCCCTGACCCGGACCAGACCAACCGGGCCATTGACCAGACACGTGTATAGGTTCGTGCCGGGTCCAGGTCAATGTTTTTGGCCAGGCCGTGATCCGGCATGGGTTTTGGCCCTGTCTAATCAAGCCCTTAGCCATGTGCTCAATGCACAACCTAATAACTCCTTTTGAGAGTTTTGAGTACTTCCTGTTGTTTGAACTTTGAAATGAAGGTCGCCAATGGCGGAAAAGAAATAGAAACCGCCAGGTCCAAACACCATAACACCCGATGAATGGCAAAGCTCCTTCGATTCAGAACCCTTCCGTTTGCGCAGCCCTCCAAGCCATTCTTGCTCTCCTCCCTCTCTTCATCTTCTCACCCTCATTCTTCTTCTACAGGCGAAGAAACTCCCTGTCACACCAAAAAGAACCCATCTTTATCTGCTCATATCAGGAACAGATCCCTCTACTTCCTCAACTGCTGCAAGACCTCAGCCCACCTCTTTCAAATCCAAGCCCAGTTAATAACTTCCGGCCTCTTCCAAGACCCGTCCTTCGCCGGCCGTCTTTTGAAGCTCTCGTCGAGTGTAATCGGCGATTTGTGCTACACTGTCTTGATTTTCAGGAGCATTGACTTTCCTGATTCGTTCTGTGTAAACACCGTTGTAAAGAGCTACTCTTTCTGCAAAAATTATGAAAAGGCAGTGGTTTTCTACGTACAGATGCTGAGAGACGGTTGGTTTCGTCCCAATTGCTTCACATTCCCTCCATTGATAAGCGCTTGCTCGAAGTTAGGTAGCTTGAGTTTGGGCCAGATGTGCCATGGCCACGCTTTGAAATTCGGGGTGGACGGGGTTTTGCAGGTTCAGAACTCTTTGGTTCATTTGTACTCTTGCTGTAGGCTCATGGACGATGTGCGTATCGTGTTTGATGAAATGCTTACGAGAGACTCAGTCACGTGGAACACAATTATTGATGGTTTTGCAAAAGTGGGTGAAATGGGATTAGCCCATCAAGTGTTTGATGCAATGCCTGATAAAAATGTGGTTTCTTGGAATATTTTGATGACGGGGTACATGAACTTTCGCAACCCGGGCAATGTCTTGAAGTTATTCAGACAAATGACGGTCGTGGGTTTTGTTGGTAATGGTACCACCTTGGTGCAAGTAATTGCGGCATGTGGGAGGTCCAATAGATTAAAAGAGGGAAAATCAGTTCACGGGCATCTTGTTAAGCAATTTTCTCGATTTAATTTGCTCGTATCTACTGGCCTGGTTGATATGTATAGCAAATGCGGCAGGGTTGATGCTGCTCGTGTAATATTCGATAAAATGCCGACCAAGAGTACGATATCTTGGAATGCCATGATCTTGGGGCACTGCATTCACGGTAATCCAGATGATGGGCTGAGTTTATACAAGCAAATGGTGGATACGAAATTAGTTGGGCATAAAAATGAGGTTGAGCCCGATGATGTCACTTTTATCGGTGTTTTATGCGCTTGTGCCCGTTTAGGAATGTTGACAGAGGGAAAATTTTACTTTTCTCAAATGATTGATGTGTTTAGATTGAAACCCAATTTCGCGCATTACTGGTGCATGGCTAATCTAATGGCTAGAGTTGGTTTACTGCACGATGCCATGAATGTCTTGATGAATATCCCGACCGATGGCGATGGTGTGGATCGAGAATATTCATTATGGGCAACATTACTTGGATCGTGTCGGTTCTTGGGGGATGCAACTTCGAGTGAAAAGATTGCTACAGCATTGATCGAGCGAGACCCACAGAATTATTTATATTACAATTTGCTGGTTAACATTTACGCATTAGCAGGTAAATGGGAAGAGGTTGCTAGGACAAAGAATGTCATGCGAGAGAGGGGAATTAGTAAAGTGCCTTGCTGTAATCTCAAGGACTTGAATGAAATAGTTTGCAATGTTAAAGTTGAAGGTGTTACGGATTTGCATACGCATCTTTGATGGAATGAAATACTTTTGACCGTTTGCTTTATTGATATGGATTTTCTCTTGAAACTCAACTCGAAAAGGATCAGCCGAAAGCGCTTCATCATTTGTCCGGATCGGTTTTTGCTCATGAGTTCATGTAAAAATTCCAACAGATTTTATGTTTCCAGAAAGTTGGACATTTTCTTAGTGTCTTCTTGGTTGAGATAGTAATGTACTTGCAAAAAAAGAAAATCAGAACAGATGTTTTCATATTCATGGTGATGTTTTTACTGTTGGTTTTTTCTTACTCAGTTTTCTTAATTTGATAGAACTAGCAAATTCTTTGGCACATTTATGCTTTCAACCTTTCTCAATAATTATTTACATGTTGTGACTGTTTTTTTTCTGACTTTATCAAATTACACTGTGTTAACCCAAATGGACCTGTCATGTTATTTTTTCTCAGTTTTCACCATAAAAAATCTGCATTTCATTATTAGCATTCAATTATGCAATCATGTTTGTTACAATCTATTCATGTACAGAATTACTAAGGAATATATTCCAGATTGCTTCAGGATTTTATTTTTGCAAACTGGCTTTCTCTTTAAGAGACATCAAAACCGCCTTGCAAGCTAGTTTTTTTGCCATCTTTTTATCTACAGACGAGCGAGTTTCTTTATACACAACGCCATGTGCCTCAGCCTCAACCGTAGCATATGTCGTCCCATTTTTACGAGAAATCAAAGGCTTCTTGAATATAAAGTGCTCCCTTTGACACAACTCAGTCAACTCTCTAACTGGATGAATCCTCAAAGTCTCTGGCGTGATTAACGGCTCAAGAAGAGGCTTCATACTCTGGAAAACTATTTCCTTCTCATAACCCGAGTCGACAAATATTGCTCCCGCTAGGGATTCTATTATGTCCCCGAGTACCTATAAACCAATCATTAAGTTCCAATCATTACACTCGAAGTATGGATATTACTTAATTTTTTTCTACTTCAAAAAAGGTACCTTTGGGTAAGTTGTTTCAGACTCCCAGCCAAAAGTGGCGGTCGAGTTCAATTCTTGAAATTTGCTAACTGTTTCGACTATATGTCGGTGAAGGTCGTTCGAAAGGTGAAGTAGATGTTTGTGCAGCTCCGCCTTAATTGCTGACTGGGCATAGCAATCATTGTTGACAGATGCTGACCTCAGATCAGTTAGAAGTCCCGGAGAAAGGCCAGGAAATTTAAGGTACAGGTGTACCGTAATTAGGTAGTCCAGCACAGCATCCCCAAGAAACTCGAGACGCTGAAAGAAAAAAAAAAATGAACGAGAATTATATGTAATGTTGACCAAAACAAGTCGAAGAAAAAACAATGATATTGGGAAGAAAAGGAAAAAGGGGCAAAATAGGTATTGTTACCTGATAGCATCCCGGAACTTCTGGCTGCATAAACGAACCATGTGTTAAGGCCTCAACCAAGAGAGAAACATCTTGGAACTTGTAACCTAAAAGAATCTCCAAATGTCTTATATTAACAAGGAGTTCTGGGTTCGTACACATGTTCCTAGTATACGGTAGACTGACAAATTCGACGCTTATGCCAATCCATGTCATAAAAGACAAAGCAGCTATTTCGCCTCCCGCACTAAGGAACGCTCCGATTAATGCCTCGGTCACATCCGCCACAGTTTTACTCTTTATTTTTCTGCTCCGACCAAAATACACTTGTTTAGATGAAAGCATCTCTTCTTGTAATATGTGGTCAGGATTATAAGCCCCGGGTATTATCCATGTTTTTATATCCAGTGGTTCATTTCGGATAAAGCCCTGAAATATATAAATGGTCCATTATAAGAAACGAGATGAACCATTATAAATGGCATATTATTTTTATTCATTACCGTGATTTTGCGGAGGCATCCGAGCTTGCACAGGTTAGCGTTGCAAATAATTTTCTCTCTTCTAATGCTTAAAAGCCCCTCATGCCTATTTTGGTACGTCTTAAATAGCTGCTGACTAACAGCGTATTTGAGGAAAGAATCACCAAGAGTCTCCAGAGATTCCAAATGAAGCTTCTCTTGGCATTTCTTTGTTGTGATACCCTCCAACACCTAATAAAAATTATAGCACGATACACAAATGGGTGCTTAAATTTTTTTGAAGCACTTAAAAACATCAACTTAAACCTGAATAACATTTTACATCATGTGATCATTAAACTAGAAAGTACAGAGGTAGAATGTATAAATACCGTAAGGGTTGGAATAACATTTTGGTGCGTGCAGAGACCCAAAGCCATACATCTCAAATTGGCAGCAATAAGAAGTGACTCAACCCGATGCATAACAGATGGAAGAAATGAGAAAGAATAGAAGGTCGAAATCGATACAGGGGACATGATAATAGAGCACAGCTCTGGAGGTAACTCGCATGAGCTATTACTTGGTTCTGCATAAAAAAAGTTGAATAAATAAGGATAAAGAGGGGAAAAAACGACAAATCCAAAATATCAACTTAATGAGTAAAAAATAGGATTCAACTATAAAAGGGTGGAAATCTTGAGAATCAAAGATTAGATATAGTAAATTACAGAAAAAAGTGACATATTAGACTTCCAAAATAATCTGTCCAGAAATATTCTCACATAACAAGATCTTGCTGATAATTACTATTATTTTCTCCAAAATCACTTGGCCTGACAACTTTTTTCAATTTCCGAACACACATACACACAGCATATGAAATCAATATTTTGATTCCAATGGTCAGTAGATTACCCTTTTTGCTTGCAGTTCGACTTCTCTGAAGGTAATTGTGCACGGAAAAGACACGTTTTCCCTTAAGAAGAGTTTCCAGTTCGTATTGCAAGTTGATCCCATGTCTGTAAGCCATATATCATATTAATAAAAAAATAATGCTTCATTATTAGTATAAAGTTAAAGTAAACAAAGATTCAAAATATACACACCTCGTTTTGAAATACTTCGTATACGTAACAGATTCTCCATCTCTTAGCTCAAGATATGAATTTCCATCAATACCCTCCAAAGTACCCATTATGCAATAGAGAACACCGTTATGAGGCGTGAGCACTAAGGAGTTCTCTATCACGCAACGGCATACCAAACCGTCCTTTGTGTGCACATGAGAATCGTAGTTTTGACTCGAAGGGCAATCGGTACGGAAATGCCGCGAAGCGTTCTCAGGGAACCGAACAGAATTAATGCACGACCAATCAATCGACACGCCTTGATCGGATTTAACAACAGGGAGAAGAAGATAATTTAACCCAATCGAGGACCCATTTACCCCAGAGCTTTGGCCGCATTCTTGAAGCATAGTAAATTTGTGATCAATTAGAATCCTGAAAAGGGTAGTCTGGAATTTTCGGCAGAGCGAAACCTGCAAAATCGCAGTTTTCCAAATCTCAATTCAGCTTTTAACAGAAATCATTAATTATTCCCATTGAAGATTTCAGCATACCTGCTCGGGACTAAGGCTAACATATCCAAAATACTTCACATGTGCAACAACACTTCCCCTATCTGCATCCAGATCAATGTCAAAACTCTCGAGATCATTATCCAGCCTTTTATGAACTGCCAGCAAAACGTCTTGAAACTTGACATCATACTGAAAATTCGGCTGTAGCGCAATAAGATAGCAATGGAAGAGCGTTTCTGACAGATTCCCATGAGGCCCGACTAGTTCTTGCGGGTAATATTTTGGATGATTGTCCATATATGATACATTTCCTGTAGATTCACTTTATTAGTCTCAAGGTTAGAGAAATTCACTAAATAGATGGTGTTTTGCAGAAAAAGAATTTGGAGAAAATACCATATTCTTCGGCTTCAGCTTCTTCCTCGACAATATCTGGAATGAGATTGTCCGTGAGGGCACCAACTTCATGAAGTTTCTTGCAAGCCTCGAGGCATGCAAGTTTCTTAAGAAATTTCGTTTTGCCCTGTACGGTAATCGTTTGAACTGGGCAGCTACTTGGAAGGTGAAGCGTACAAGTACCGAGTTCCTTGTTTATATCATAGTAAGGATTAGGTTTGAAGTACCTGAACGTTTGAGAAAAACATAGATTTTAACGCCCACTTACATTCCTCAACAATTAATGAAGTAGTGTTTTTTCTTTTTTTTTTTGACGAGGTGGTCAATTAAAGCAAAACTGAAAGTGGTTAAGAATCGGGAATGCGACAAATTTATAGTAAAGTAATAATAGTGAGAAACGCCAAGAACAACAAACCTGTCAGAAGGAAGGCGTGAGCAATAATAATAAAGCAAGCTCACACTAGAACTCATAGTCACAATAGCTCCTGTGCTTTTTACTTCGTACCAAGACTCACCATACATTTCATTGTGAAGTGGTTCGCAAGGAAGGTGAGAATGACTCAAACACTCCTTGCGCATGATATCTCCACTAGTTAAATACATGTTTACTCGAGAAAGGGCTGAAGAATCATCCCTACAAAATACAAGAAAATAAATTAAAAAAAAAAAGATGATAAAGAAGAAATGTAATGAAATCTAATGACTTTGACCATGAAAAATTTCAGTCTTATATAAGTATCTGAAACCAAAAGTTAAACGATATACTTTCACTTTATTCAGTCCAACAGAGAATGAAGATGAAAAAAAAAAAGAAAAAAAGAACCATACAAGTGAATCAAAACGAAATTCTGATTCTGTATTCTATCTTCTTACTTCATAGACAACAATTCAAAAATGCTGAAACCTACAAATATAACATCTAACCCATTCAAAGTAAACCATAATGAAATATGACGAAGGTATCTTTAATATTGAATACAACTAGATATTAGCGCAAAAGTCGTGGTTCTTTTGGAATTAATCCCCAAAATGCTTTTTACAAAAGCAGTAACGTCAAGCTCACCGTTTCACCATTAGAACAAAATCTGAGTTTGGCATTCGAGCACGTCCACGCGATTGAATAAAGCTGCATATTGTAGCTGAAGGGTCAAATCTAATTACGAGGTTGCAGCTTTGGACATCTAAACCCTCTTCAAGCATAGAAGTGGCAATGATGATGTTGACCTGCAAGAACATCATGTTTGAGGCAAATAAAACTAAAAGTCGACACGCCCAATCACAAAATGAAATTGCCATGTCAAACAAATATAATACCGAAAACAAACATCTCACCATTCCTTTGCGGAATTCATCAACAATTGCATTCTGTTCTTTGCGACTCTGAGATTGAATTTTCGAATTGTTCCCTGCTGTGTATTCTGTCCTCCATCCCACTAACTCTGGAAGCAATTCATTCAACAGATTTCGAATAACAACTGCTGTGACAATCCTTTCAACAAAAACTATGCACCTCAAATCCTTCATATTCCTGTACAAATAATCATTTAGAAAGTTAACTTTGCAATAAAGAAAAAGAAAAAGAAAAAAAGAATACACCATCACTATTTAGACATGTATACATTAAAAAAAGATAATGCAAATCTTTCATCATACATAATTAATCAAGGTCCTTGCCTTTCTAAACGTGTTAAAAAATGTTTGGTTAAAATTACATTCAAACAGCTTATCATGTGTAGCATTATTAATTGGCTTATCAGCATACTTGTAATCAAGAAGAGTCTCCACAAGACACATGACTTTTGACGTGAGATACCCAGCAGATACGTTAGCCATCAAATCATTACGAATTGACCACTTTGCACCTACAAAGCCAAGAAAATAAGAAAAGTAACTCTTAAATACAGAAGACCTTGAAAGCCAAGGCTAAATTGAGGAGAAACCGACTAACTGAAAAGAGAAAAGTACCTGAAGGCATAGATGCAGAAAAAATCTTAACAGCCTCAGAACTAAAACCCCTAACAACTTTCTCACCCGACACATGCATTTTACCCCATACAAAGACATCATCTCCTTCAACAGAGTAATACTCCGCTGCCTATTCCAATACAAGAGGATGTTAATTTCAAGTGTAAGTTAAAGAATGAAGCATGTGCATTCATATAATTATATATATACCTTCATTGCTAACCAAATTCCCAGCTCCGTCAAACAAAACATGAAGGTTGAGAAAAGTTTGTTTAATCTTTTCTTTGCAGACTTGGCCACTGATTCTGAGATACTCGCCTCGTCGAGAGAATTCTGAAGAGAATTCTGATGCTGATGAAAAATAACATCAACAATGATTAAAATGATAACTTGATGAGAACCATGACATGAAGCACTGCATATCTATTTTTTTATTTTAATAGATGGGGAAGAGGGATTATGATAAGCTCAATATTCAAATACATCAAATGTATGATAACACATGTCTAACAATAAGTTCAAAACTTCAGGACATAAAAACAGCAACAATGCTCAATTGGGGTTCTCGAAAACAAAGTATGTATGCATAATATGGCATACAGTTACTATCATTTTCTGTAAACGATCTTCCAGCCGCTTTACTGTCATGTGAGGAATTTCCATGTGATCGTAAGCCTTCACTTTAGTGGTTGAAAATGGTACGTACTGACTTAAAACAAGCTCCGAGTCACAAGTGAAGACCTTCATTTGTAAGACAAATTTATATTAGATACCACTGTGTAACTTGAGATTTCCAGCAAAATCAGCCATTAAAGTCCCATAATAGAAAAACCAAAGACAATTAGCAAACTACTAGCTAAGTCAAAAGACAAATTCGAAGACAACCCTTGCCATTTGTTGTGAAAATTTCAGCTTTTGAAGACCTTGAAAAGAATTGTGTCAAGTAAATGCTTCAAACCAAACCGAGTTTAAGAATAGCATAAATTGTCTCTACAGTAATGTGAAACTAACAAAAATAAAATAAAATGTTTAGAGAAATTTAATATAACCGATTAGCAGAGTCATCCAACAACCTACATATCACACAGCCTCAAAATAAATGAAGAAATGAAACTCAATCTCTATATGGTATACATTGGGTCCACAACATTCCATCACACGAACATGATTGACTACTTCCCAAAAAGACTAAGCTGAAATACCAACAAATTTCATCAAACCTTTGACTGCATCAGATTTTCAAGTTCCTTGATCTGTTTCCAGTACTCTGCTTCTGAACTCGAAGCTGCAGATACAATTTAGAAAACATGTCTCAGTTGAAGTCGATAATAAGAAACAGATAACAAGACTTCGAATTCCTATATAGGAGATACAGACCTTTTGCCTTTATAGGAGATGCAGTCATTCCAAAAACTCTAGGAAGCTGCGAACTATTTGATGCTAGTTCACGATGATAGAATTCCTGCAAGATCAATGTTGAAATGCACAAGTACAAGATATATGATTGTAACTTTTAGATAAATCAAAAAAAAAAAATCATGAGGTTTAACTTAAACCTGAGGACTGACTTAATAAATATGACGTTTAAATCACGAAGCTTAAAATCTATTGATGACTTTATGCATTTCTTCTTTCATGTGAAATCATCACATAGAACAATCTCGAGATATAAAAGAAAAAATGGAAGATCGACCGTTTGTATTTTGTAATAGATAAAATTATAAAAAGGCCGTCTTATTGAAGCATATGAACAGGGACAAAAAAATTATTTTACCGTCATGATGCAAGCATATGAATGTTTGCCTCTCGCATTATGGCATTCGTCGAATATTAAAACCTTTATCTGATCGAGTCTCAAAAACCTGTGCCTCAATGCATTAAGCAATATTTGTGGTGTCATTACAAGCACCTGGAACACACATTACATTGTTAAACTATCGCATGCCGTCACATATTTCCCCTGATGTGCAAATCAAATGAGAAGCCAATCTAAGACAGGTGACTTTCTAACAAGTTGACATGAACCTTATGTACTGGCCGCTATATTCTGATAAATGAAATGAACAACCTCCTATAATGAGGAAATAGGAAGTACAGAGTACAAGTCACGAAGGTAGAATTAGCAGATAACAGACAATTCACATGTATTTAATACAGAACACAATCTGTAGTGCATGGCGTAGAAATTAGTATACTGGGCAGATTGATTACAGCCTTCCCAGCAGAACAACAACTGTCTTTCGAGGAAAACAATGAAGAAAAATATACTTTAAAGACTCTGGTATTTTTACACCATAATGTGCTTACAAAAATATATCGCCAATTAAACTTTTATTTTTAAAATAAGAAAATTTGCAATCCTATCTGTAACACTAGAGTATTATATACAAAGCCGCCATGATTCAAGTGTAAAAAACATTTACAGATAATGTTTACTATCTTTTGTACAAGACATAAAAAGGCCTTAATGAATAAGAATCTACCAACTGAATCCCAACTTCTGAGTTAATCTCCATTTTTGCTAAGCAAGCAGGAGATCATGACTGCAAAATCCTCGACTAACTCTTGAACTAAATATTCCAACCATTAGTTGAACTTTAAAATCAATAATCTCAAAAGGTAACACAAATACGCGGTATATGCATTTCTAGTATCTCAAGAAAGAGAAGACAGTTCGACCGTACCTCATGCAATTCCACCTGTTGCTTCCACACTGCAGCATCCCAGTAATCAACACCCATCTCACCACAGTATTTTCCCACTTTCAGATCAGTATGCATAGACACAACTTCACTTTGCTGATAATAATCATCAAATATATGTCAGCATACAAACCAGGGGTGAAAGAGAATGCACTAACGTTCAAATGAAGACATTCCAGACATCAAGGTAATAAAAAAATCGGTAGGTAAAACAGTCAAATGCCAACACAAGCTTCACGCTAGAGCAATGAACTGATTTACTCATTTCATCATGCAAATTAAAAACACAAATCCAAACTTAAACTCCACATACTTGGTTGACAAGAACTACAGTAGGAACCAGAAAAACAGCAGTGTAGACCGACGGCTTTCTGATGAGGTGTGCATAACTTCTTAAAAGCATGATTGCTATAAGAGTCTTGCCAGTGCCGGTTTCAAAGAAAACTATAGTGTTCTGTTTCAGTGCTTTTTCCAATGCTTCCAGCTGGTAACTGCGATTAAAAAGGGAATGGGGGAAATTACGAAACACTATATCAGTCCACATAAAAAAAAAAAGAAAGAAAGAAAGAAAGAAAGGTTAATCTTCGAATGACTGGAACAAAGTCAAATTTTCTCCTAAACAGCGGGTAATTAAATAAGTAGATATGTAACACACTACAGGAGCTTCTACACAAGCATGCCGGCATTTGTTTAGAAATTAAACAAGAAATAGCATCCTTCTGTTTATAACACAACCAGATATATGTTCATTACCTTCGCGCAAAGTGAACAGGATCAGCAACAACCTGCTGGTTTCCTCCATTTTCAGTCATGTTAGAAGTCTCCATCTATTTTTCCTTGCTTCAAACCTCCAAGAAAATAAAAATGACTACTCTCCAAGTTAGAATGGGTATATGTCAATATTCAGAGTTTTGTTACAAGAATCGTCAGTAGCAAAGTTGAATTTAAAAATAAAGTAAAGTAATCTTAGTTGAGACAGGAATTCAAACTTGTTACTCAACTGCATCACCAAGTTCATCAGTCAAAACATAACTTGGCAAAGGGAAAAAAATACAATTTTCAGTAAAATCAAAACCTGCTAGGTAAAAGGAGAAAAAAAAAAAAAAA